ATTTAGAACTTTATCAGTTAGCGTTGTGCTCCAGCGTCGTGGTCTAGAAGCCGGCTTCACCAGTGCCGGATATGATGTTTGCGAACCCGGCAGCCTCAAGCCAACCCCAGGACAATGATGCGCCATTATATTCTCTGTGTAAATAAAGAAATTTCGGAGGAAATGGGAGGCAGACGCGTAAGAGGTTTCGGTGATAAAAAGAATTTTCAGGGTGATAAATCTTTTTGGAGGTAAATGTAGGTGATGGAGACTTTGAATTGTTTGAACACGGGGTTCATTAACGACGGGTAACCACCTATGGCATGATATGTGGCTTATTTAAGTTAGCATCTGGTTTCAGAGATGTCACCCACAACAGCCAACTAACACCAGGTACCTGTTTGCTACTAACATCAGGTACCTGTTTGCTACTAATACCAGGTACCTGTTTGCTACTAACACCAGGTACCTGTTTGCTACTAACACCAGGTACCTGTTTGCTACTAGATGAACAGTAGCAGCAGGTGTAAGATAAACAACAGCAGACATTCAAAACAAATAGAGCAGAAATCATGTCTACCAAGGGCAAAACGTTTAACAGTCTTCTGTGTCACACTCATAACAGGAGAGCAATACTTCCCTCGATGGTTGTTGTCTACCAGCCTACTAACAGTGTCTCACACCCATGACAGGATGGTAGTACCTCCCTGGACGGTTGCTGTCTACCAGCCTACTAACAGTGTCTCACACCCATGACAGGATGCAGTACTCCTGGACGGTTGCTGTCTAACAGCCTACTAACAGTGTCTCACACCCATGACAGGATGCAGACCTCCCTGGACGGTTGCTTCTACCAACTACTAACAGTGTCTCACACCCATGACAGGATGGCAGTACCTCCCTGGACGGTTGCTGTCTACCAGCCTACTAACAGTGTCTCACACCCATGACAGGATGGCAGTACATCCCTGGACGGTTGCTGTCTACCAACCTACCGCTTCGTAAACAATTTACATTGGCTAAAAGCTAACATTTATATAAAATCTCTTATCCAAATTAGCCACAACTGATTGTACAGCAAAATTAACCTTCAGATCACGAGTGTTTGAAGACGTGGATCAAATTATTTGGAGTCAAGTTGAACAAGCGTTTTAGTCACGTCTTAATTGGCAGTGTGTGGAATGTGCTCGTTAAGGACACGCGGTTTAAAACATCTAACAATGTAAAAGAATACACATTGGGAAATATATTACGTAGCCATTACAAGGGTAATGTTGATGACCTTGTGTAAATAGAGTATTACACTCCACTCCAGTCTTCTAAATGGCTTAGATAATGAACTACAATTGCAGGAAGAATACAGTAGATGCTAGGAGACTAATGAAGGTACATAGGTCTACTGTAGGTGCGGGAAGGGGAGTACAGTAGATGTTAGGAACCTAACAAAGGTACATAGGTGTACTATAGGTACGGGAGGAGAATACAGTAGATGCTAGGAACCTAACAACGTTAGATAGGTCTACTACAGGTACAGGAAGAGAAATACAGTAGGTGTTAGGTGCCCAACATAAATAGATAGGCTTATAGGTTCCTAACAGGTGTTGAGAACCTAATAAAGTGACACAGGTGCACCACAGCTTCAGAAGAACAAATACAGCAAGTATTCTGAGAACTTAACTACATAAGTCACCTAATTACCTTACTGAACTACGAACCAACAGAATTTTGTTGAAGAATTAACCCTACGACGTCTCTCCTTCACCACTCTCGCCCAAACTAAAACAAAGTGCGAAACATCGCGTGTGTCTCGTGAAATATCTCGCTGGATCTCGCGTTGTGGAATCTGCGCCGCGAATTTAGCAGACATAAACATGGCTGATAAGTGCGCTATTTGCGTGGTAATGGATTGTAAATCTAGACTAGCGCAGATTTATGTGTGTTTTAAGTGTATGGCATCAGCTGCCTTCCAGTATGCCGCAGATATACACGCATTTATATGTACCGGAATATACACACGTGAGGGTGTGTATAGTATATACACATGCAAGGGTAGGGAATAAGACTCGACCCATGTACCTAAAAATAGGAAGGCAAACACACACATACCACACACACACCACACACACACACACACACACACACACACACACACACACACACACACACACACACACACACACACACACACACACACACACACACACACACACACACACACACACACACACAAGTGCGACACGAGAGAGAGGGGTGGGTTGATTGCATTTTCTTGGACTGCAAGAAGGCCTTCGACACAGTTCCTCACAAGAGATTAGTGCAGAAACTAGAGGATCAGGCGCGTATAACAGGAAGGGCACTGCAATGGATCAGAGAATACCTGACAGGGAGGCAACAACGAGTCATGGTACGTAATGATGTATCACAGTGGGCACCTGTGACGAGCGGGGTCCCACAGGGGTCGGTCCTAGGACCAGTGCTATTTCTGGTATATGTGAATGACTTGATGGAAGGGATAGACTCA